CTTCGCTCTAACATTTACAAGTTATGAGACTGGGAAGTTACTTAAATCTGTAACTTAGGTTTCTCCTTAGTAAGTAGATATTAAAATAGTAACTACCTCACAGGACTGTCATGAGGATTATATTATGCAGGTAATACAACTATCTCAGTTCCTGTCACACATATGTCCATTAAACATTACCTAATGTCTTTAATAATAAAAATGTAACCCTGCAGATTAGCTATTAGGAAATGATGCTTACAGGCTCAGACATACATCTAAAGCCATACATCTAGCAATTGTTAATGCCAGTTTTAAAAACCTAAAGGCAGTAAAATCTGTGCTGTCTTAGAAAGTGTTCCAGTATTGCTATCTTTCCCTCTGTTTCCCTTATTTTTCTCCCTCAACTACTCATTTACAGAACAGAAAGTATTTATACTCAACGTATTTAAATGTTAGAAATGACCTTAGAAATCATGTAGTGAAGGTGCAGCAAATGCAACCAACAAATCCAATTGATAGTCCTTGCCTGGAATGTTGGGTCAAAAAGGAGCCTGGAGTGTTGTGATGAGAAAGACTTGGAGGCTAACTCTGGGAAAGGCAGAAAAATAAAGCAAAACAGTGACAGCTGCCCAAGGTAAGAGGTGATGCGGGCAAAGGAGGGAGAAAGGGAGACAAAGAACACAGGACAACTAGGTGCTATTCATCTGCGATTGCCATTCAAGTGTAATAGACTTGTTAAACCACTGTGCTCTATGCAAAAGCACTCAGTTTACTATCTCAAGTACCTAACATCTCTCACACAACATAGTTAGTCCATTAGCATAATTTGACTCCTTGATATACTATACATATATTCTTCCAATTACTCAGAATTTGTTCTATATCTTGAATAATTTTTACAACAACAAGGCAGAGTATTTCTAAGTGTACGTATGGGTTGAAAAAAGCATGCTGAAAAAGGGGTGAATTAAGTGGAGGGGAAGAACAATGTCTGAGCAAAGTCCATGTCCAAATAAACCACTGATCTGCACTAGTTTTTGATGAGCAACTCACACTAAGTAGCCCTACTAATAACATTACTTTTAGTCCCTGATAAATTTAACACTCATAATTTTGTCCCAAAGAGGCTCTTTCTATAATCTAAGCATTTAATGACATGATAGCAAGTAAATTTTTCTTTGAAGTATCCTATAAATGTTTCACTTGAGCCAAAAATACTCATACTTCCTACAAAATCATCTCATATGCTTCCTTCCATCCATTCCTTGCTATAATTCATTTTTAGATCAATGCTTGGATTTAAACCATGTGATATCTGACTTCTACTTTTCATTCATCCTCCAATACCGATTGCCACAATTAACTGTATGCTTTGTTGAAACACTAAAAATAATTTCATTGAAAATATTTTAATTTTTATACATTTTAAGAATCTCAAGTATATTACATATTAAAAGATCTACATATTTTAGTATATCTAAAATGGTGGCATGTAGGAATTTTTAAAAGAATTCATACACCAAGGAAGGTACATGTATTTATATAACTTATATGTATGTATTACCCCAGGAGATTCTGTATTAGTGAGTCTGTGGTGACTACCCCTTTCCCCCAAATTTTCAAAGAGCTCTGTAGGTGATTCTGTTATACACTTCCTAAGAACCACACAGTGAGCACATTTCAAATTGCTTTCAGTATGTGTCTCTATTTGAAGTATGCCCCACCCCCAAAGAAAACAATCTGGGCCATTAATTTTAAATCCTAGTTTCACAAAGTTTAGCTAAATTAAGATATCTTTTTATTTATTTATTTTGGTGGCTGACTGGAATGGGGAAGGTATCTTGTTTTTAAACCTCCCATTAAAAATTATAATTAACATTTTTTTTCTTCAGAAGTGAAAAATAAAAATTTTAGTGCCTACAACTTTAGTTATAGTTCAAAAATGTTTTATATAAAACCACAACATGAACAATTAAGAAAACGTTTATAATTCTCTGCCATACTGTAGTATTTATAATTGCTTAAAATAATTTAGTGTTTTACTTTGCCCATCTTAAAAATGAATATAAAGATACTTGCTCTTCCTTTTTGTATTATGTAAAATATTTATTTTTAGAAAGAAAGATGTTAACGTTTTCTTTGAAAGTTAAAAGCCATTAAAACATTTTATTAATATAGCACAAGTAGAGTAGTAATGATGAAGGCACATAAGGCATAACAAAATTATTTTTAATTGAATATCAAATTTTTCTTGTTCATTAAAGGTTGTGCCCATCTAAAATATATACAGTGAAGAAAAGCAAAATATTCTCTGCAACACTTAAGGGTTTGGGTGTGGGTATGTGTGTATGAAAGTTTCAATGGGTAGAAAATGTATTAAAATTCACTGAGTAACAGTAATATTCATATATTCTCATTGAAATGAATGTCTTTCAATAATAAAGACTGCATTTCATTGACTGTAAGACACTTTTTACATTACAACATCTCTGATTTAGGGATGAGTCTTATACTAAGTGGCATGTCATATGAGAAGCATTTTCTATTTCTGAATGGTGTTTCTTACAATCAATAGCGCCTTATATCCAGTGAAATACAATATTTATATAAAAAAAGTACTTTTTCAAACTAAAATAGGTAACCTTTTCTTTTTAAATGTAACAAAACTGCCCCACCCCCAAAACAACCCTAACTGCATTACCCCATAAACTGTAATCTTTTGTATGAGTGAAAAATGGCAAATAAATTTAATGAAGCAGCTAAATTCTCAGGAGAAAAGGAATTGCTCTGGTAAGAATGCAACAGCTTAAATAATGAATAGATTTTATCAATGGAAAATTACATGAAGTTACTTTCAGAGTTTTAAATGAATAATTTCATACTATTTCCATCTTTCAATCCTTTTGAAGTATTTGTCCACCCTATATTGAAATAAAATAAGAATGAAGGGGCATTCTACCCATAACATGATGCGGACAAAGACTACTTTACTATAAAATAAGTTTCTATCTACAATATAAATGACTTAGTACAGTATATTTATTTATGCTAAGAACAAAAGCCAATATTTAATAAAATGTTTAGAGATATAAAAAAATTTAAAAATTAGTGGTTCAATCTACTAATACTGCAGAAAGTCACATTCTAACACGTCACAAATTAAAACATGTGATTTAGTGTTTAATGTAGTTACTGCCTGCAGCACTTTCAAACCATTGTAAAAGTGGTTAGGTAATTCCTTTCATATTTCTAATTGCTAGCATTCTAGTGACAGAATTGTGATCAAAAGCATCAAAAATGTAATAGGCCCTATGCCGAACTTAAAGTAAGACAATTAGCTTTTCTCACTATCATTTTTGAAAAATGCGAATGCAAATACCACTTTTGGAAATTGAGCATGAGGATGAATAATTTTCTTTCACTTAAATACTATAAAACAAAACAAGGACAAAGTAAGGATAAGCATAGAATAATTTCTTTCATATTTCCAAGATGGGTTTCTAGATACAGTACTGACTGCTGATTAGGTAACTTTCACGCTAGAATCTTCAAACCAGTGCAACACTTGTACATGTTTTGTTTTTAAGCATGCACATGAAGGCCCAACCATGATTAAAAGCTTGGGATCAAAAATCACTAGAAAATCTTGCATTTTTTTATTGCTACTTAATCCAAGTGAATGTCACTTAATTTTAATAATGATAAATGCAACTAGAGAAGTTTGAGAGAAATCCCAGTCAATATAATTTCCTTAAGGATAAGGCCAATCTTTCCTGACCATTAAAACTTTGTACACATGTCAGTTTTCCTCACCCTAAGGAAAAGATCTGAAACCAACTCAAATTATAGATTGAATTGATTTACCTTGTAAATTAACAGCATTTAAACATTTCTACTCTTACCTACTCTTCCAAATAAAATAATGTACTATCTCTATTCAAAACCTGAAAGAAGAAAAGACTTTTATTTTTGGCCAGGAATCTTAAAGTTCTTATGGCTTTCTAGATCATCAGAGGTAAGCAAAACGAATCCAACTTTAAATGGCTGGTGTGCCCTATCATTTTTTGGAGAGTTGGCAAACGTAGCTTAGGAATTTTAGGTAAATAGAGCAAATAATGAATTGTTGGAAATGCATAGGAAACAAAATGATTATTCATAGAACCAAATGAAAGCCTTCCATTAGAAACTAAAAAACGACAATGGTTTTATATACATGTATATATATGCAAAAACCAAAGGAGAACAAACAGCAAATAAATGAAAATAAAAAGCAAAACAAATAAACAGGAAATCAACCCCCAATATTTCTCCTACTCAGTTTACCTTGAAGGCTAATCTGAACAGTGTTACCCAGACCCTACAAAACACAGGATGGACACTTTGTTCCTGGTATACAAACTAATGTCTTTTAAGTCCACCAACACCACTTACACATTTCGTGTAACTGAGATATTCATGCAGGCATGTGACCGCTATGTACTTTAATGCTAGTACTACCTATCCAGAATAGCAAATATGGTGTGAAACAAAGCAATGCAAGCATTTATGTGAAATTTGGCTCCACTAAATCTGGCTCATGCTTAACTATATTATTAAAAGAATTACCAAACTGCCAATGTATTTCTTTACAATATTTCTTATTTTATCTTCATCAAGACCAACAGCATAACTATAAACAATGTTAATTAGCCAGATTTCTCCAATCTTCTATCAGGTTTTAAAGAATATTTTATTATCTAAACTTTTTTCAACTTTCTGTTTTTCTCTGTATGTGCATGAAGACAGACAGAGAAACAGAAAAACTACATATGACTTACACAATAAATATACACAGATATTACATATATACTACTGAGACTGCATGATTTTTATATCAAAGTACATGCTTTTTCCACCACACAGTTCTTCATTGTTATTATAAGAGTAATAGAAAACTTTTGCAACAACTAAAGCACATGCTGCTAATAATCCAGGGTTTTAAGAATTTGTAGGTTAAAAAAATACAATTCCTAGAACACTGTTATCAAACAAATAAGTTTTATTGGCATCTAAAAACAAAATTCACCCAACATTGAAACGTACTTTAATATTTATGTGGTTTTCTTTTTTACTCACTGCAGTATGAGGAACAATCACAAACACTTACTTTGGAGAAACAGAGACCATAGTGTAGATTTTACAAAATCACTTTTTAAAATCTCTGTATTGTGCTCCTCAAATATCTAGAGCCAGTCTTTGCATAAAATATCACAGCTTTGTCTATTACCTTAAAATTCTGCAGCAGCCTAAAGATATGGATAAGATATACCATCACTTGCTATTTTGAAATATATCTATTACCATATCCAACCTAATGACAGTATCTAAAAAATTCTTTCTTCCATAGGAAGTCTCTGACAAGCTGTTATTCATTTCCTTGACGTTAAAAGAATCTGGGGGAAACATTTATATTTTACCAGAAAAATTAAAAAAAAAAATGTTTACCTACCATGTTCATATTAAGAACAATGTCTATACAAGTCAGTTGTACAATTATTTTAAGAGAAAGGTGAACATGAACATCGGATTAACTTAACTCTGGCAGACAAAAGTGAACAACTATGGTCCAGTCAAGCCATTAATCTATTACAGAGAGATGACAACTTTACAAAAGGTATCTTTTACCTACTGAGTGATGATTATGTCCCCTCAGTTTCTGTGCTTTCTACCACTGGTTCACTTTCTATATCAGCAACTGTGTCACTCTTCTCCTTGTTTATATCACTTGAAGATGTCAGTTTTTCATAAAGTTCAGGATCATTCTGTACTGGTAAAGGTGGTGGTTGAGCATGTCTCTCTGTATTTTCACCATTAACTTGAGGCACATTGTCACCTTTTCGTTGAGAAGTGGCCCCTTCAAAATAATCAAAAACTCGAGCATGAGGAGAGGGGACCCAAGTGTTTTGAATTCTATCTCGTCCAAGTCGATTTCCATTCATTTCTCTGCAGAAATCAAAATCTCTGTCATCTCTATCCCTCTGCCTCTCCCAGGGTCTTCTGCGGTCATCAAAATCTCTGTGAACTTCTTGTCCAAATCCTCTGTTCCAAGGACCACTTCTAGGATCAAATCGATAGTTTCCAGACCGAAATCTACCTCTTTCTTCATGTAAGCCTTTTGGACCACCATAGACAGGTAGAACCCGATGCTCTCTCTCATCAAAATCTCCTCTATGGCCCCAGGGCTTCTCTGGATTAAAACCAAAGTGGTCTCTTCGACCAAGATGATCTATACCTGGTCTCACGAGATTCTCTCTCATATCTATAGGAGGTCTTGCAAAATGATCCCTACCATCTAATGGAGGCCTTCCAGGACCTTCACCAAAGTGGTCTCTTCGACCAAGATGATCTATACCTGGTCTCACGAGATTCTCTCTTATATCTATAGGAGGTCTTGCAAAATGATCCCTACCATCTAATGGAGGCCTTCCAGGACCTTCTCTTGGATCTATAGGCCGCCCAACCACATCCCTAACATCCACTGTGGGAGGTCTACTAATGCTTTCCCTGGTTTCTATGGGAGGAAACCGGTAATCTCTATCTCCTTCCTGTTGAATGTTATCATTACCAAGTGGTATCCTTTTTTCTGGGTTAGTAACATTGTCTACACTTTGTCTTCCAGGAGCTAGAAAAGGTCTTTCTGGCTGATTAAAAATATCTCCTGGAGGAAAAGGTCCACGGGGTGGTGGATGAAGAGCTGAATCAAGTATGGATGGGGGAGGGATTCCTCGTTGGGGTGGAATTCCAGGCTGTATTAAAGGGAATCTTGGCCCAGGTGCTTGTGGTATTAGTCCTGGACGAATGTCTAATATTGGCATTGCAGGCATCCTTTGATTAGGGATATTTAAAGGGGGTAAGTTTTGAGGTCCAGCTGGTGGCTGTGTTCCCAAAAGTCCAGAAGTATTTGGAACATTTGGTGGCTGTACTCCTACAAGTCCAGAAGTGTTAGGCATATTTGGGGGTAGTACTCCTAAAAGTCCAGAACTACTCGACGCACTTGGTGGTTGTATTCCCAAAATTCCACAGTTATTTAGAATATTTGGTGGTTGGGCTCCAATAATCCCAGGACTACTGGAAACATTAGATGGCCGGACCCCAAGAATTTCAGAATTATTTGATACATTTGGTCTTTGGACTCCCAGAATTCCAGAATTGCTTGTCACATTTGGCAGCTGTCCTCCTAAAATTGCAGCATTACTTGAAATATCATTTGGAATCACTAAAAAGGAAGGAGGAGAAATAACTCAAAATAACAGTCATTCTGGTATGAAAAGGAAACTACATTTACAATTATTAATGCTATAATTTCCAGTAATTAGCTCAGAGTTAATCAGCTACTGGTATCCCCCAAGAATCAAGGTACAGTAGACACTAAATAAAAAGTAAAGCTAAAGTTATTAAGGCCATGCACAGTAAAACTTAAATATTAAAATATAAGCAGGGCTGTTACCTAAAATCTTTACATGAAACCTTTTAAGTTAAACAAAAATGTCAGGTTTTATACTGATATTTCACCTTTATCAAAAGCCTTTCTAAAGCATAATACTTAGTGTATCAACAGTGGGGCCATAAAAAAAGGACTTACTACTTTCAAACACTGTATTTATCTTCCAAGACCTAGCTGGAAGACAAGTGATAGAATATGTGACAGGATGACTTCCTGGTAGAAGTCCTTCATACCTAATACTTGGCTCATATTTACCTTCCTGTAAGTACACAGATTTTGTGCAATCTTATTTTGACAACACAATCAAGCACTCCCAGTAAAAAGAATAGCAGGAGGAGTCTTAATGCAAAGGTGTCAAAGTCTACATTATCCTGAACAAAATGCCAATTTTTAAAATAGAAATTTAGGACCACAGTGATCTCTTTTTAAAAAATTGCAATATTTCAACATTTGAGCATTGAATCAGTTACAAATGCATGCCACGCCAGAATTAAACATCAATATAGAGAAGTAATGCTTATGATTTAACCATGTATTTCTAGGGATTTTTTTTTTTTTACCTGATCTAGTGTTTTCACCAGAAGAAATCTGATGATCTATAAGATGAGGTACTTTTTCTTCAGGCTCTGCTTGTTTATTTGGAGGATTAAAAACATTTCCAGCTGGCAGAGTAGAAGTAGCAAGAGTGCTGGCAACAGAACCACCTGGTAAAACAAGGCTACCAAATCCAACATCTTTCACAGTTTCTGGGGTCATGGATAATGGTGGCTGCACTAAAGCTGTTTAAAGAGGAGAAAAATATATTTCAATTAGTTAATCAATTCATGTAGTAAGTTTTCTTCAAACCTGAGTGTTTCATTAAAAGACATCTCTGTATTACTAAGCACATTAAATAATAACTGATGCTCAAAATGACAAATGAGTCATCATGAAGAGGCTAAATTATATTCAGAAAGCTTTACTTTTTAAAAATAGAGAAAACCAACAATAATTAGAAATATTCTCACCAAAAATGTTTAGTAAAATAAGTACCAATACTTAAAAAGTAAATTCTAGTAATACAAAAAATAATTTTCCAAGGATGTCAGAAGAATATCTAAATACACAAAGTGATTAGTACAAACTGACAAGTATATATGAGGATGAAAATCTGCCCAATCCCCTTGAAGTTACAATGTACTGATGTCCTTACATTCACTACCTTTTGTCAAGCAAGGTTAAAAACTCATCAGATAAGAATAGGTAAGGTGGACTATAAATATAAAACAATAAACATTACATTTTAAAGAACAGATAGAAAAATCCCTATGTTTGTGTCATTTACATGTTAAAAAACAAAGAATTAGAGGAATATAATTATATAATTATAATTTTAATCCAATTTATGTCACTTAGAATACTGCTAAATCATACTTGGAGACTTTAGGAAATGTTTCATCCTCACATTTAACTCTAGATTACCTGGACAAACTGTTGGCACATAATAGAGCTGTAAAATAGGGATAAAACCACCTGTGATCACATATGGGAATTATGAGAATTAAATGACACAGTACAAGCAATTTGAAGAGCACCTGGAACATTGGTATTTCTCTTTCTCCATTAACTGATCCCAGATTTAACTGATCCCAAATCAATAAACTAGGAAAAAATAATTGGGAGGTAAGCTCTAAGATAAGCCTCCATGAATGGTGTATTCAGAAATAACTTCTGAACACTCTAATTTTCAGAAAAAATAAACCATTTTTCCAAATTAACCAAAAACCCTAATGCTATCTAAACAGTGAGAGGAAAAAGTTTAAGAATACAAGGAAAATGGATTAGATTATCAAAAGTTTAGATCTCTATGTATCATATACACTCTCTTTATAATGAGGGCCTTTTTGGTCTAATTTTTGATGTAGGCTTGCCTAAATCACTCAAGGTTTGTCCACAAGCCTGGAGAATTAAAAGGTAGGAAAAAAATGAGCAAAAGGGTATATTTAACATTTCTGAACTATCCAACAATAGGGAAAAGGAAATAGAAACAAGAAAGCTAATAAACGTCTCTATATATTTACTTTTGAGTTGATTTGCATTCCTTTTGAAATGTCTACTCTATTAAAGAAAATATAAATGTCAAAACCACGTAAGTTGAGGTGCATTTTTCATATAAATGTAAACTAAAAAAAAATAGTTGCATATGAAGCTGGTGCCACAACTACAAAGAGAAAATTATTTCAGGTAACCTTGGGTAACAGCAATTTAATTATACATCCTTAGTGATTATACATTCTGGGACAAAGAAGGAAGCAGAAAAATCGTAGTTTCATCTAGCAGTCTTGTTGTTGGCATTAACATTGGTCTTACTACTTTCAAACTATTGTGTGTGTGGTGTATATAAGTCTGTTTTGTAGAATAATGAAAATAAGTAATCATGTTACTGTTTTTAGTATTTGAGAACACAGGCAAGTAGAAAAATCAAAGCAGCTAAGTAAAGAGTCCTGTAATGTTAAATTTGCTTCATAAATAATGTATATTTATACTTTTTTCTTTTTGAAATATGTCTTTTCTAGTTTTGTCGGCTGAAAATTCCTAGATTCAATGAAAATCCAAGAGCAAAAATAAGAATCTAGCTGTCAGATTGTGGTCTCTATACACTATACCCCATGTGGAAAAATGGCTGATTCTCAGACTGGAGCAGTAAGACACAAGATTAGTCTGGGACATACTGGGCCAAAAAGATTAAAAGCTCGCAAAAATTAATGTAGTCAACTCAAAAGGATAGAGAAGCTAAATGAAAGGCCTCTTACTGTTCCAAGATGAAACAATGTGAACTTCAAAAAGAAAAATGAATGCACATGATTGGAAATAAAAGCCCATTTACCCATAAACACTACAGAAGCTGAAGGAGAAAAAGGAAGGGGAGAGGGGACAAGGGAGAACAAAAGAAATAAAGAGAAATCCTTTCCCCTCTTTAGTCATTGGATATTATCATTGGAAATAACCACAGACCTAACTTGTTACTCTGAAGGATGGCAGTTAACAGAAAGATATAGCATCTACTCTGGCTTTCCTGTACAAGCTGTAGTTCAAGGTAACTAAGTACCATTAGATGATAAAATAAATATTTTCTCCTAAAAAAAAAAAAAATTCTGTAAGAAATGTGGAAGGAATCACAGATTTAGAAAGATCACTACTTTGCAACTTATGAAAAATAGATTCAAGCAATGATGATCAATGAATGAAATAACAACAGGAAAACTGAAGGGGAACTTTTTAAATGACCAGGTCCCACCAGCTGATTACTCTAATCCATCTTAATATCATTAAAAATGGAACAAGAAACTAAGAGTGAACCATAACTATGGACTCTGAGTGATGATGGTGTGTCAATGTAGGTTCATCATTTTTAACAAATGTACCACTCTGGTGGGGGATGTTGATAATGGGAGAGGATGTGAATATATTGGGCAGTGGATATACAGGAAATCTCTGTACATTCTACTCAACTTTGCTGTGAACCTAAAACTGCTTTATAAATAAAGTCTATTTTTTAAAAAGTGGGACCAGAGGTCACTGCATGGCTACTGATGTGATGTAATATCAAATATAGCATTTCGTTTGTAAAGTATTTTTCTTTTTTTTTTTATCCTAGCAATACTGTTTCCAAGAATTAATACTGAGAAAAATGATTGAATAGGCTATGGCCACATACAATGAGTGTGAATGTGTTGCAAGGTGGACTTTCTTACATTAGAAAATAGCTGGAAGTAGCCTAGGTATCCAGTAAGAGGGGATTGATTAAATTAGTCCCAAAGCCCCTTGTGATGGGACTAAGGCCACCATTAATAATGATGGTGTTTGTCTCCGTTTTTTTAAAGTAATAGATTTTTATAGCAGTTTCTAGTTTACAGAGAAATTAAGCAGAAAGTACAGACAGTTCACATACTCCATACATACACAATTTCGTCCATTAACATTTAGTTTCTCCTATTAACATTTTACATTAGTGTGGTACATTTGTAACAATTATGTACCAATATTGATACATTAAATTTTACACAATGAATTCCTATTTGTGAGACAGAAATCCACTTCTATGGTTTTTGGCCAAATGCATGTCACGTATTTATCACTAAAATATTCTTGTGAAAGAAACTGAACCGAATCTAAGTGAGCCTTTGGTGCTAACTTCTATTTCACAGGAAATGTAAAGAGACAGAACAAATTCAATTAAAGAAGCAAAAAACCAAATCCATTATTTGAGATCTTGTATATAGAACTGAACTGTTTCTTCGAAAAGTCATGAAGGATTAAAAAAAGAAGGGGGTTTGGGCAGGACTGGTCTAGATTAAGACATTTAAAAAAAAGCAAAACAAAAACCACAAATATGATGTGAGGGTCTTCTTTGAATTTTGACTAAAATAAAGCAATTATAAAAAGACATTTTGAGACAAGCAAATATGAATAAGGGCTGTCATGTGACGCCATTAATTTTTTTAGAAATCGTCTAACAATGCAATTTGTCTAAAAACTTTCAAAATAAAAAAACTAACAATAATTTACAAGAATGAGAGCCAATACACTCATGCTACCATGATTAAAGAAAATTCTACAAGTAGAAGACTCACATGTTGGTACTACTGGTGGAATCGTAGGCGGTGGTACAACAGGTGGGGGAACTGGAGGAGGCATGAAACCTATGTGGGAAAATAAAATAAAATAGCACAAGAAAAATTACTTGCTTTGAATCAAAGATTTCAATAGACATACATGAAATTCCACATTCTTAAAATGGTCTTTTATTACTACAACCTGACACTTGTATATTCATTTTCTATTATAAAAATGGCATTTATATATGTTACCTTATTTGATTTCTAGTAAGCTAGGTAAAGCAGAGAGATCCTAATCATAAGCTCATCATATTTATTTATTCATTTAAGTCCTGTGGCATGCTCTATGATGCTGTAAAACCAAAGTTAACACAAGACAGGTAACCTGTTTATATATTAGGACAGCAACTGCATAAGAGTTAAACATTATATTTCAAGCTACTGACTGCATTACATGCAATAATGTCATCTGTCAAATGTGTCACTTTATTTCTTTGATATATACATTGTTTACCCACTAGATCAAAATATTTTCATTAACCTTGAATAATACTATATTATGTTTTGAACACTGGAATAAATCTTCATAATATTAAATGATCAAATTATAAATCTACTTCTTTACATTTTTTAAATATAGAGCCACCATTAAATTCAATTAGAAAATGCTGGTTAAAAATAAGGAAAAAAGGGCCAGCCTGGTGGCACACTCGGTTGAGTGCGGCGCTTGGGAGCGCGCCGCCGAGGGTTTGGATCCCATATAGAGACCGGTCCGCTCACTGGCTGAGCGCGGTGCGGGCGCGACACCGAGGGTTGCGATCCCGTTACCGGTCACAAAAAAAGATGAAAAGGAAAAAAAAAAAAAAAAAAAAATATGTGTTTTTTTTAAAAAAAAAAAAAAAAAAAAATATGTGTTTTTTTTAAAAAAAAAAAAAAAAAAAAATATGTGTTTTTTTTAAAAAAAAAAAAAAAAAAAAATATGTGTTTTTTTTAAAAAAAAAAAAAAAAAAAAATATGTGTTTTTTTTAAAAAAAAAAAAAAAAAAAAATATGTGTTTTTTTTAAAAAAAAAAAAAAAAAAAAATATGTGTTTTTTTTAAAAAAAAAAAAAAAAAAAAATATGTGTTTTTTTTAAAAAAAAAAAAAAAAAAAAATATGTGTTTTTTTTAAAAAAAAAAAAAAAAAAAAATATGTGTTTTTTTTAAAAAAAAAAAAAAAAAAAAAGGAAAAAATAAAGATATGTGACTTTTCAAGAAACAAACGATAAATAATGACATAATGTGGTATAATTTTTGAAATAATCATTTAAAAACTTCCAAAATAAATTTTAATTTTCAAATCACAAATACAGAAAATATTTGACAAGAGTAATTTTTCAACATTGAAAATATTAAAAATAAAATTATTAAAATCTGTGTCAATTTCAAATTATGTATTAAACTGCAATTTAAAAAGTTTACATTACATGACAAATAAATTACAACATTCTCAGGTGACAAATTTACTTTCTAGTCTTGTTGACAGTTTTTAGGAACTCTATCCCAATGGCTAAGAACTTATATTACAGAAATCAAGGTACTTTTTTTCTTATAACATGCAAATAATTCATGAAGTTCAATTTTGAAATATTTAATCCCTTGCATCTCTTCCCTCACTGTTCTAGTTCTAATCTCCCATGGTTTGATATTAAAAGCTCTATCTCAAACTATATAAGAATTACATATATTTAATTGATAAGATGTGTATTTAAGTAATCTATAATTTTTTCCTGGAAACAATGATTCAAGGAACTTTTGTTTATCAAGAATTAGGTAAAAAAAAGTATTTAATTCACATTTTAATATAAAATGTCAAAATGGAACCTGCTGATTTTTAGGAGGGACAATCTATAGAACTGAATGCAAACTCTGTGATGAAAGAGTGATAATTATAGAGAACTTTCACATAAAAACTTCAACATAAATTTTGTATTATTTTAGGAGTAATGATTTTCAATGATGTTAAAGGAATTCCATTCTATTTTCTGTGAGTGCTTCTCCCAGCAATCTGCATTCTGGGAATGTGTTGGAAATGAAAACTCTCTGTCTCCACCACAGACCCAATTAATGGAGCAAAACCTCTGGAGGCTGGGCCCAACAATCTGTGCTTTAACAAATCATCCAGGTGATTCTGAGGTATGCGAGGGTCTGAGAACTACTGCTCTATGGCACTTAAACCTGGAAAAAAACACATCTTTAATGATATTCTTTTTTTTTTTTTTTTTAAAGATGACCAGTAAGGGGATCTTAACCCTTGACTTGGTGTTGTCAGCACCACGCTCACCCAGTGAGCTAACCGGCCATCCCTATATGGGATCTGAACCTGTGGCCTTGGTGTTATCAGCACCACACTCTCCCGAGTGAGCCACGGGCCGGCCCTTTAATGATATTCTTTTTTTTTTTTTTTAAAGATGACCAGTAAGGGGATCTTAACCCTTGACTTGGTGTTGTCAGCACCACGCTCACCCAGTGAGCTAACCGGCCATCCCTATATGGGATCTGAACCTGTGGCCTTGGTGTTATCAGCACCACACTCTCCCGAGTGAGCCACGGGCCGGCCCTTTAATGATATTCTTTTTTTTTTTTTTTAAAGATGACCAGTAAGGGGATCTTAACCCTTGACTTGGTGTTGTCAGCACCACGCTCACCCAGTGAGCTAACCGGCCATCCCTATATGGGATCTGAACCTGTGGCCTTGGTGTTATCAGCACCACACTCTCCCGAGTGAGCCACGGGCCGGCCCTTTAATGATATTCTAAACAGAGTCCAAACAGTAAGAAAATTTCTTACCAGGAGGTGGTTGTGAAGGGTTAAAACTTGCTCGTAGAAAAGGAGGTGGAGGAATTGGACTGAACCCAGGAGGAGGAACCGGCATTGACACAGGAAACGCTGGTGGGACTAAACTAACTGTAGGCACGGCTGGTGCTACTGGGATCTTTGGTGGATAGAAAAAAAAAGTCCATTAATCAGTTTATTCACCTGCAACGATTACATCTTGGAAAAAGTAAAGGTAAATTATTTCTATTTCTTTAAGAAAGAAAGTAAATACCACTATATTAAGTTTTTTTTCTTTTTTGTATACTTGTGAGTGAACCTACTTAGAGCAAAAGCAAGGCAACATTATAACAGTTTACTTGGAGATTGTGAAATCTATAATATATTCAAATGTCATAAAGTAATGGTCACCTAATTGAATACTTAATACCATATTCAATTTTAATCTACCATCTCCCACTAAGCTATATAATACCTATCTATGTCATGCAACCAAGCCACCACTGGGAATCATGTCAATAATAGATTTAGAATGGCTCAAATTCCTCATAAATTTATTTTTTAATCCCACCATGAATATCCTTTACTCATCCTACGTACAAAAAGTCCCAAATATTTATCTGCACCATAGCTTAACCTCTCTCTTGAACTTCACATTTTTTATCAAGTGCTGTTCAACATCTCAACTTCATTGTCTAAAATATACTTCCTACTTAACATGTACAAAACAACTGAATTTCCCATTGTCTTTCCCAAAAGGACTCTTTCCAGTCTTTCCCATTCTCAGACAATAGAATCCCCATCTTTCCAAATTTTCAGACCAAAAAGCTTGCCTTTGCTTTTTCTCACAACCCCAAATTCAGTCATACCAGAAAGTCCCACTGTTCCTATCTGATGACTTCTTATCACCTCCACTGCTATTCTGAGCCACCATCATATCTCAGCAGGATTGCTACAATTGTCCTTCAACTGGTCTTCCTTTTATCAATGCTCACTACAGGCTAGTCTCAAACTGTTAAGTCAGATCAAGTCACTTCTCTGCTCAAAATCCTCTAATGGCTCATCTCATTTAGAGTGAAAACCAAAGTCCTTAGATAGATTTATCTTCAACTAACTGGCCTCTCACTCCCTTTACCCTAGCCCACTTAACTATTCTTAGAACCCACCAAGCATGTTACTGGAATAAGGCTTTTGCACTAGTTGTTCCCTCTTCCTGGAATCTCTTCCTCAGATATCCACATGGTTAATTCTCTCATCACCTTTAAGGTGTTGCTCAAATTTCACATTCTCAATTAGGTCTACCCTGACCATTCTATTTAAAATTGTAAGCACCTATCCAGGCATCCACAACCAGCCTTACCCTATCTTTTTCCTTCCACAGGATCTCAAAATTCTATTTATTTTATATTTTGTCTCCCATGTTGAGAACAAAAGCTCCAAAAGGGCAGGGATTTGTGGTTTTTTTTCACTGATGTATCCCTATCCCAAGTGCCTAGAAACAGTGTATGTCACAGATCTGGCACTCAATAAATATCTGTTCAATAAATAAATATATTTAAATATGACACCATTTTCAAAAATAATTTTTAAAAAGTGTTTGACTAAACTCATTAATATATCTTATTGTTCTGTCAATTTGACTTCTTAAAAAAACATGAATCTAAAGAAAACAGTCATGCAAGTTCCTACAGGCAATACTTCCATATTTACCTTCATTTTAAACCTAATGAGTTTATCACAATATCACATTTTGTGATAAAAAAAAATATTTAAGAGATTAAAAAAAAATTCTTTTACCTAGTAGTACTGACAAACATTCATTCTAATTTGGACAATTTCCTCCAAGTTTTATAAAGTAAATACATGAGTAAAAACAGAAAATGTAAACAAACACATTTTAAAAAATCACTCAGCACTAACCTGCAACATAGCAACAGGTGGAGGGAAAACCTCTGCCTGGGTTGTGACCACTGTCTCCTTTTCAACTGGAGTTGGACTCTGAGTTGTCTGGACCGTCTCTTTAACAGGTTCTGAGCTTTTCACAGTTTCCCATTCTAAACAAAATATTTGAAATTGATTTCCTTTGGATAGGTGCAACTTTTCATTTTTTTTTTCATTTTTTTTCTAGGTCTATGTTTACTTCACATCCAAGTCCCTCATCTACCTTGGCACATCTTTAAGATATATCCACAACTGTAGGTGCCACACTAGATTTTTGCCCAGATAAATCTGTCTAAGAATACTAAGGAGTCCAAAAGAGCATCACACGAGACACAAATGAAGTACACTACATTTAGACTAAAGAAAACACTTAGAAGGGATATAATAGATACATATCTCAAAGGCTGTCTGATATCAAAGCAATCACCTTATTCTATATTTTTATCACAAGGTACAACAAAGGAAGACCAACTAGAAAAGTATTAACCCAATACAGAAAAATCCTTCTGAAAATACAGCTACGCAAAAATAGAACAAAAAAGCTCTAATGGTTCCTCCAACAGTTCTCCATCTCATTCAGAGTAAAGATCAAGTTAAGACTATTAAGATGCAACTTTGCCCCTTGTACCTCTCTGCCTTCATCTCCTACTACTCACTCCTCATTTACCTTGTTCAAGCTATACTGGTCTCCTTGTTTTTTAATACCGACTTTGCACTTAACTTCTCCCTGTGTATGGAATGCTCTTTGCCTAGATAGCTGCATGTCTCACCCCTTCAAATATAACTCTCTCCATCAGACCTTATACACTCACTAAAAAACTGCAATACCTCCACACCTTCACTGTCCATCCCCCTTCCCTGTTTATTCTTCTTAGAACTCATCAACACCAAAATACTATATAGTACAATTTATCTACTTCTTTCCACTAGAACGTAGGTTGGAAAACTTTTTCTATAGAATTATTTTAGGCTTTGCTGGCTACATGTTCTCTGTTGAAACTATTCAATTACTATTACAAAAAAAAAAGTCATATAAAATAGTTACACAAGTGAGGGTGGCTGTCTTTCAATAAAACTTTATTTGCAGAACAGGCTACCAGCAGGATTTGGCTGATGGGCAGTAGCATGTCAATCACTGTGCTATATACAAGAGGAAGGATTTTTATCTATTTGTCTCACTACTATAATTCTAGTTTCTAAAATTAGGCCTGACACACAGCAGGAATTAAACTATTTACTGAAGGAATGAATGTCCTGGAGAAAGAGCCATCAAAGATTGGGGTGGCATGGGGAACAAACTGACAGAACCCATTTTTTAAAAAGTTTAAAAATATCTGCACTGGCCTGACAACCAAAATATTCCAAAACTTAGCTAATTTTGATAAATGCTAAGATGTGAAGAAATACATATCAAATTTCTTTCCCAAATATCAATTTTAAGATTTCTTACTGATTATAATTGTCAATCATTTTGTGAATTTATAACTGGAATTTTTTAAAATAAAAAGACAAATCTTTAAAAAAGAAAAGGCTGGGATGATCATTTGGTTATAGGTATTCTAACACGTCATGAATCTGAACGAGAGCTCCCTAAATTACAGTTCTATTTCTGCTATTCTCAACATGGATACTATTCAAAATAATCTGGAGAGCTTTTCAAAGAGGCTTCCCAAGTCCCCAATTCCCACTTAAACTTAAAAAGTCCTCTATATATACAACTCTGTCTTAAATATCAACACCATACATGAAAAATACTACATTTACAGACTTCTGTCTATACTTTTCTAATCTATACTTTGACACCTATGAAATAGGACCCATTAAAGCATGTATATCGGACACATTCATGTTTCTTTTCTTTTCATTTTTTCAGATGAATCCAGGAAATAAAATATACACTGAAAACCCATTTCAATTAAAACCTAACTTTTTTAAACAACGAAATGGCGTTAGTGTTCTTACCAGTATTTACAGTCTCCTGATCAATCATGCCTCCTTCTGCAAAACCTTCCAAGTCATCCACTTTAACTTTTTCCCATGGTATATAAGTGACTCCAAGATCCACATCCCAGAATTGTTTATATTCTGTTTTTACACCTTTGTTTAAAGCCCAAGCAATCTATTGTGAGTGGGAAGAGTAAAAAAGGCAGCTCAAACACATACTGTAAAACAAGGTAAAAAGCTCAAAATTATATTTAAATAATATAAATACAAATCAAAGTAGTTTCAGAAAATAGTTAAATGAGCAAAGCTAGAAGACTAACAGTGGACAAATTTCTTTCCATGAATTTTCCATTTTTGTTTTTAAAATAAAACTTGCATTGGATAGAGACAATGTTTACAATATGGGATTCATTTCCACTTCTTGTTTTAACTCTAAAACAATACATTTCCAGTGACAACCCAAATCTACTTTTCACCATAAAAATGTCAACCTATATTAGTGATAATTAGGACAGTTATTATAATTTAAACAAAATCTTGTACTCCAGGAAAGAGGAGACGAGTGATCTTTGGCTTACACAGAGAAACTCTGCCATAAAATGACAAAAGATGGGCATACATTAACCCCCTTAAAAGAAATTACTTTAAAGGTTTTAATTCAGTTACAGAAACTGAAAAAATAAATTATCTCCAAATAGCAGAAATGAAACTGTGTATTACTCACAAAAGTAACAGAAAAATACTCAATAAATTCTCAGTTTAAACACTAAGAAAATTAAATCATGCTAACTGATAATCCCTTCACAAAGGCCTGGTTTGTATAAGATTAAAAAAACCAGGAGAAATCAATTAATATAATTAGGTGGTATAATTAGGAAGTGCTGGGAGAAAAGAGTAAATAAAAGACAAATTTGTAAAAGTGAAAAAATTCTGCTCATGAAATGGTGCCATAGATGACTCAGAACCGTGGAAGTGTGATTTCAAGAAATTGACTCAACTTTTGGTTATTGGACTTATTTTACCTATATCTAAGCCCGCAAGTCAACAATTCTGAAATAATACAGGGATAGTCTAATAATCCAATAAAACATGAGCATGTGACCTTTTCCTATGAAAAACTTACTCTGAAGTAATAGGCATTGAAATGTTGGCTGCCCCCCCACCTCTCCTGCCACAAAAAATCTTACCTTAATGACCTTGGACCCAATTTTATATGACCCAGAACTAAGTTTCTGAAGAGCTCGAAATGCATCTTGTCGATGAACCATACACACATAAGCACAGCCCCTGGGAGGAATCATCTATTAAAAAAAATTACTTTTTTAGAGAAGGTATAAGGATTGAAATTCATTCTGGCATTTTATGGTTTTAATGAAACAGAATTTTGACAACTAATACTCCAATTCAACTTTGATAGATTACTGAATTGTTTTCCCTTTCTTCCTCCAGATATTTATTGGTACAATTCATATACCAATTACTTAGTGTAAAAACACCCCAAAATTCAAACCCTAACAATGAAGTCTCATTCTAAGCCATGATATATGTGAAATCTCATATATATCACAAGTCAAGGTTTTTTAAATACAAAATAAGGGACTACCAAAACAAAAAAAGAGTGTAACTCCATATATACAATACCACCAGATAAAAGGGAAATAATACTGTATGGCCAAAATATTTGAAGCAAATAATTTATTCCTACTAAATATTTCCAAATGTTATATTGAATAACATGAAGAGGGTTTTTGTTTGGGAGAAGTATCTTTAATATAATATCTGCAATCTATAACAATTAATGATAAAACAAAACTTTTCAATCTTATAAAACTTTAAGTGCTTCTGAACAAAAGTTTCAAGATAAATAGGAAAACAGCATCGGTGTAAGGATATGAGACTAATTTACAAAGCATTTAACTATTCTTTAAAATACCATATTATAAAATTATCCTTAATGTATTAATTCAGAAAACTACACACAGAATTTCAGCTTCTTTTTGAGAAACTCAAAAGACATTCTTTCACTTAACTATTACTCAAGACCTATTTGTCAAAATAAAAGCTTTATTTGTCAAAATAAAAGCT